CCCCACACCACAGTCGAAGAAGTCCAGGAAGAGCCAGCACGAATAGGTTCTATTTGTTTCCTTAGCACCTTGCAAGCTTAACTAGAAAAGATGGAAAAAGAGCCCCAACGATGTTTAATGTATGTTGATGTGTTGCTTAATGAGAAAAGTACCAAAACCATGCTCGATATGGGGGCCTCAAACACTTTCATCATCTCGAGAGAGGCCAAAAGGTGTAGTTTTAAAGTTGAGAAGGATCTTGGACAAATGAAAATAGTTAACTTGCCAACTTCAGCTATAATAGGAAATGCTAAAGACGTAAAGATTAAGATTGGCTTTTAAGAAAGGAAGGTAAACTTTACTGTAGCCACTATAGATGATTTGGATTTTGTCTTAGGCTTGGATTATATAATGAAAGCTCAAGCAATCCCTTTCCCTGCTACAAGTTGTTTAATGTTTTTTGAAAAATGACCACGTGTGGTACCGGCTACCATCTTACCTAAAAACTAGAATAAGATGATTTCAACTATACAGTTTAAAAAGGGATCAAGAAAGGGGAGCCCTCTTATGTGGCCATGCCCATTTACAAAGGTGAAGATAGCATACACCTAATACCCAAGAAGGTGAAACTGGTTTTGGAAGAATTTTAAGGTATGATGACAGAACAACTATCAAGAGTTCTACTGCCTCGACAGGCCATTGATCAGAAGATAAAATTACATCCAAGAGTCAAGCCCTTTACAAAAAGGCCATATAAGATGGCTCCCCCAAAGTTGGCAGAGATAAGAAAACAATTAGACGAGCTGATCCAAACCAGATTCATTGGACCATCAAAAGCACTTTTTGGTGCCTTAATATTTTTTTAGAAAAATCAAAATGGGAGTATACAATTATACGTGGATTATCGAGCTTTAAATAAAGTCACAATTAGGAATAAATATCTTATCCCTCTAAACTAGATTTGAGATTAGGTTACCATCAAGTGAGAATGGCCGAGTGGGATGAGCTAAAAACCACCTGTGTAACGCCATATGGTGCTTTTGAATTTCGTGCTATGCCTTTTGAACTAACCAATGCTCCTGCAACCTTTTGCACACTAATTAACCAAGTGTTTCATGATTATCTAGACAAATTTGTGGTGATCTACTGAGATGATATTGTGGTGAATAGCTCGACCTTAAAAAAACATCAAGGGCACTTGCGGTAGGTCTTCCGAAGGCTATGTAACCCCCAGTTGTATGTAAAAAGGTAAAAATATGCATTCATGCAAGCTAGAATCCATTTTCTTGGTCACATAATTGAACAAGGGCACATCCGAATGGACATGTAGAAGGTCAAGGCTATCAAAGAATGGGCAACCCTAAGAATATAACAAAACTTTGTTCTTTCTTAGGGATAGCCAACTATTATCGGAGATTTATGGAAGGATATTCAAAAAGAAAGGTAACACTGACAAAATTGTTGAAGAAAGGACAAATATGGAACTGGGCACAACCGTGCCAAGAAGCTTTTGACTATCTGAAGGACACAATGATGACTGATCTTATGTTATCATTTTTTGATATTGGAAGGCCTTTCGAAGTGCAGACAGATGCATCAGACTTTGCCTTTGGAGAAGTGTTGCCACAAGAAGGACACCTTGTGGCATTTGAAAGTTGAAAGTTGAATAAAGTTTAAAGGAGATACACGGCACAAGAAAAATAACTACTTGCAGTGATTCATTATCTATGGGCTTGGCGACACTACTTGCTAGGATCACCATTCATGGTTAAGATTAACATTATAGTCGTGAGTCACTTTTTCACACAGCCAAAGCTTACAGCTAAGCAGGCGAGATGGCTAGAATTCCTAGACAAGTTTGATTTCTCCTTTAAGCATAAAGCTTAAAAATCGAATCGTGTAGCAGACGCCCTTGGTAGGAAGGTTGAATTTGTAGCTCTAAACGTGATCGCACCAATGACAGCAAGTAAAGTGACCACAAACATCCATAATCTAATTGAGAAAAATTTGCATCGAGACCCCCAAGCAATGGCCATTAAAAAGTTAGTAGAGAGCAAAAAGTCAAAACACTTTTGAGTGGAAAATAGACTCTTACTAACGAAGGGACCTCGCATATTTGTTTCAAGAACAGGACAGCTTAGGTGGAAATTAATGCAAGAATGTCACGACACTCCTTGGGTAGGACATCCAAGCAAGCAGCGAACGATGGCACTATTGAAACAAAGTTACTATTGGCCTCATATGCGGTAGGATGTGATGGATTATACGAAGACATGTCTCATTTGCCAGCAAGACAAAGTAGACAAGTAGAGATCGACAAAAATGCTCGAACTTCTACTAGTGCTAATGAAACCTTTGGAAAGTATTTCTTTAGATTTTATTGCAGGGCTTCCTAAAGTGGGAGATATGATAGCAATCTTATTAGTGGCGGACTGATTTTTCAAGTATGCAACATTCATCTCGGTACAAAAGTTTGGTTCTATAGAAAAAATGACTCGCATAGTTTTGAAACATGTGGTAAAATATTAGGCTGTTCCGAAGAGCATTATCAGTGATAAAAATCTGAGGTTTACTGGCTTTTTCTAGAGAGAACTATTCAAGCTATTGGGTTCAGAACTCAATGTCTCCTCTAGTTATCATCCACAAACAAATAGTCAAACAGAACGCTTTAATGGATTATTGGAAAAATTTCTACAACATTTTGTACAAGTGAACCAGAAGAATTAGCCTAACCTACTGGATGTGGCACAACTATGTTTCAACTCTCAAAAGAGCTCAACCACCAATAAAACCCCTTTTGAGGTCGTTACCAGATAACAACCTAGATTCCTCATACTTTAGTGGAGTTGTATACTAAGAAGAGTCCACGGGTGTTTAACTTTCCTAAAGAAACACTAAAATCGCCAAAGCTTATCTAGAAAAAGCATATAGCCAGATGAAGGAGTGGGCAGATAAAGGTCGAAGAGAGCAACAATTCAACGTGGGAGGTTTGGTGTTAGTGAAATTGATACTCGAGCAACTTCAATTCTTAAGGAAAAGAGATTGAAAATTAGTACAAAAGTATAAAGGTCTAATACCGATGGTAGCCAAGGTGGGAAGGACTTTCTATAGGATTGATCCACTCAAGTGGATGAAGGTACATCTCTTGTTTCATATAAGTAATCTGAAGCCATTCCATGTAGATCTAGTAGATGCAAGCAAGACTCTAGCCACAAGAGCCGCCATCAGCACCAAGCCACCATCACAGCGCTAAGTGGAGGAGATTTTGGTAGGGAGGACAATGACTATTAACTGACTAACGACACAAGAGTACTTGGTGAAATGGGAACGTTTGGGGGCAGAGGAGATCACTTGGGAGAAGGGAGTAAACCTCTGCTCCTTTCAGAAAAAAATTGAAAAGTTTGAAGCCAACAAGTCAACGAGGACATTGATAGATTGAGTGAGGGAGGATGTCATGAGCCAACCTTGTACTAGACTATGATAAGGTAGAGCTATCTATGAGATTGAGTCTTTTTGTAACTGTAAGGGAACTATCCCTCTTTCAAATAATGTAACAGCTCGTGGTGACACTTTCACAAATACTTGTTAAGTTTTTAAGGGGGAAGACCTTTTAGGAAATGAATGTCCTTATTTCAAGCGTTGTAATTGTTATTGGTAGAATACCTGTACAAAAATTGTTAACTCTTTATAAGGGGTGAGTAGTCGATGGATTGATGGACAGCCTCACTAGTAAAGGTATATTTGTAGCGAATCATCGAAGGCTGCCTTTATGGACCGATGATGGTATATCTCGATCCCTTTGTAATCAATATCATATTAATAAAACTTTTTTCCTTTTTATGACTAAGTGGTTGCATATATGGATTCAATATGCCTTTTTAATTTTGATGTGAGTTCTTTTGATCTGATTTGTTGTTATTATTAATGTTGGAACAGATACAACTAAGTATTGGCTGACTTATGTGGAAGCATCCACTTAAGTGAAGCACGAACTATCGTATACTTAGGCGAAGGAGCGTAGTTCGTTACATCTTACACCTTTGGTTGCTGGAACTCCATCCTCAACCATGATTTCAAACCCTCGAGAAAATAGAACAGCTTATCTTTGTTGATCATGTCCCTAATATCCAACATTAGGGTCTCACAAATTCCCTTACTGACTCAATTTATATCTACTCTCACAACGTTCACCAAGCCATGTACTGTACATTCTTAATGAAAAACTTATTCTTCAGTTCTCACTTAAGATCCACCCAAGTATTGATGTGTTATTCGCCATCAACAAATTTGGAATGCCACCATAACTTCGAATCCTCGACAAGATACATCATGGCTATCGTTACCTTGTCTTTCTTCAACTCTTTGTGCATAACTCAAAAGTATTGTTCAATATGAAAAGGAAGTTCTTCAGCTCTTTTGCATCTCTAGCCCCTTCGTATCACTTAGGCTTTGGTACTTTGGCCCTTTTCCCTCAATCTCTTAAGTTTGCACTACTATTACCTGCAGCAATAATCAAGAGATTTATCTGAGCTTTTAATTCTCCAAACTCACCGTGGAGAGTGGTTAACAAGAATTATAAAATTGATGTAATTAAGTTGTTACAAATTTTTAAAATTATTCAAAAAAATTATCTATATATATAGATTAGTAATAGATGCCAATAGAATCTTGAAGCAAGATTAATTGAATATTACTTAAATGAGAATGCTTTTGAAAAATATTAACTGCATAGAAGTTAGAAAAGCGAGTAGTTCATTTCTTATATTTAATGTGTCGATTAGCTAGAATAAGTAAATTGTTAAACTCAGTAAATTTACGTATGAGTAAATTGATTTTACATGCAATTGTAAATAAAATAAAAATAAGATGAAAGTAATACAAGTATTTATTACATTTGAAGTTTTTTTTTTATGTTGGAAATTATCACAGGTCCAATTACTCTATTAAAATTTTATTAATTAATAAAATAAATAACATAAAAAGAGGGACGTAAATCCTTGTTTCCAGATTCGCAAGAAATATCAAAAAATAAAACCTACCCAAAGTATGACTTGCCTTGATCATTTACATATTAATTAAATAATGAAAGTCATATGACTTTAACTTTTCTAACTTTAGTAATATAAAGTATCAAAATAAAAATTTGCTTTTACCAAAGGACCTCAACGAAGTTGGGACTGGGCCTTCTCTTTTGTTCTAGTCCTTAAGGCAAAAGGAAAAGAATACCCAACTCCCTCCACCTAGTGCAATCTTGCCACTGTCCTTCCTGTCTCTAAATTGGTTTCATCCACTGATCTTATGTAAATTGATTAGCAATTGCAGTCCATATCGCATAAACTTCTTTAGAGTAATTCCACATGGTACATATATAGACAGGCATCATCTCCACCCTTCAAATCAAAGTATAGTAATTATTACATTGTAAGAAGTAGCATAAACCACCCCACCCACCTAAAAAATAATTGAAAGTGGCCAACACAATGAAAGCAAGCATGCACCAACATAGAAGAAATTAATATAGTTGGAAGTAAATGGGTCAAATATTCAATAATGCAGCACATAGCAGGTGTACTGGATTATGGCATCTCCTGTCTTCAGATTGAATGTATGAGTTCTTGCCTGAACATAACCTCTGGCAAATCGGAAAAGGCCGCTGCCTCCGATCACCGGCATCTCTCTCACCTTGGATAAGACTGTGTTTCTCCCCAGCACTGTAATGGTGCTACCGTTGTATTTTCCTACAGTAAAAGCAAAGTTCATGGACATCAACAGGCCTATCTCTTCTTGTGACGAGAGTGCGTAGAACCCTTGTGCCCTTCCAACCATTTTTGAGCTCAACTTAGGCCCCTCGGTTAATGGATCATCGATCATACTAATTATGCCGAACCCAGTTGCCGATCCGTTGGGGGGTTGCACCACTTGGATAGATGTAGCGTTACGACCACTAACAATGTCGTGCCAATAGATGCGAAAGCGACTTAGCTTTTCTTCCTTTAGGCCGAGTAGCTTCCGATCTAGGATGCTCACAAAGTCATGATCATCTTCTCTGCTACATTGGATGAGGCCAGAGGAAGAGAGAATGGATAAAATGATGAATTTGGAGGCTAAGATGAGAAGAATTCTAGCCATCTGCCACTGTTCCTTTTTTGGGGTTGCTTTTCCAGTAGAAGACAGTAGTGTTGCAAGAGGTTGCTAGTCTCGGATGCCCCTATTTATACAGAGAACAGCACTGAATCATAGCAAATAATTGAGAACCAAGGACAAGTAGATATTTATATATGTGGACAATTTATTTTTATGACACATACCATAACGTCTAGATTAATGTTATGCACTAAATCAATCTATTCCATAAATCATTCAGATACACAGATCTTCCAAAATTCTATCTAATTACGAGGAATTAAATTGCTATTAACTTCTCTAGGAATTAAATTGCTATTAACTTCTCTAAGTAAAATATTTAGGAATTGCACAAAGGTAAAAAGCATATACATGCACAGGAAAATTTTAAAGCATTTCTTGACACTTTATAAAGGTGCATTTGAAACTGGCAGCTGTATAAATACTCTTGAAAAAGATAATAATATTGCTGTAACCTGAAGATATATATATATATATATATATATTCGGAATTTTGTCGAATTTTTTTTCAAAAATTTTAATTTTCTTATGATATATCAGTTCTTGGATATAAAATTTCAAATAGCAACAACTAAAATGAAAGGAAGAGCGAGTATAGAGAATATAAAATTTTGGCAGGGGCCCATTACAAAAAGGACATCCAACTTGGTGCACCAACCTAGAAACGGGCTCTCCATCATGATAGTAGCATGCTTGCCATTGGACCTGCTGGATCTAAGAGTAATGAGTAAATAAACCGTAAAGCATAGACACTCAATGTTTTTTCCATTAGGAAGTGGGAGTTTTCAAACCCTTGCCGGTCGTCAAGTTTAAGGGTATTAAATTAACTTCTTTTATTAGTTGGAAAAGGATCGATGTGTATATATATATATATGCTAGGTTAGATTAGATATTATCTAATTCTTTCTGTTCTCTTTGTCGCTAAGCAAAGCAACTTGGTTAATCTTGCTTCGTTTTGTTTTTGATTGTCAGTTTAGGTTTTCAGAATTAACACTGTTTTCCAGCAGGAAACTGTTCAAATTTTGGATTTGAGTCATTTGGAATTAGTTTTTTATGTGACTATAAATGCAAATGAATAAATGACTAACTTTAGGTAGGTCAATTGTTATTATAGTTTTATATGTGAAAAGAGGATTCATATTTCAGCTTTCTGAGTAAAAAACGATGTATCCATGGTTGAGCCGAATTCAACCTTGAATGCAAATACACTGCTTTTAGAACTGCCATATTGTAAATCCAAAACTACCCATAGCAATTAGCAAACCAAGTTGCAATACATTTGTTTCAAGTTTTGAAGCCCAGTTTTACTTAGAGCAACATTTTCCTATAAACCCCAAAATGGGCTTGTTAAGTCAGGTCCATTCTAGGCGTACATATCTGTTAGGAGAATCATTCAAAGTTTCAACTCAAAGCCTACTTATTCCAAGGAATAGTACACCCAAGTGTTGACATAGTAATTCTTTATAAGTCCATATGGCATATATTTTACCTTGAGATCCCTACCCTAGTCTTGTTATGTCATCATGCACACTAACCTCTATATGATAAATGTTCACATAGATAGGTTTTGCACCGCATTTGTCATGCTTAAAAGTTCGGGTATTATATAGTTTCAAGTTCGTGTGGGACGCGATTGGGTTGCTGAATGTTCAATCTAGACTGTTGGATATGCTTGGGATTATATGGCCTACAAGTTGATCGACTTGGTGGTAATTACACATTAATGTTGATTATATGCATTTAGTATAATAAAGGTCTATTTTATCTGTTGAGTTCATTTTTTCCATACGTAAGAAATAACCATTCATCCCATTAATTTATATTTGGTTAGCCTAGGAATTATTTGCAAGTCCTGTGACAAATTTTTTGAAAAAATTACCATGTAAAAAGTTTAATGATAATTAAGAACTCTAAATCTTACTATAAAAAACTTTAGTAATAAACACATATACATCTTTTTCCTTAGTATTGTCGGTAATTCATTCAAATCACTAATTAATTTACATATTTTCTATTTGATCTTATTGTTTTAATAAATTAAGATACAACAAAAATATAATTAAAAATAATCTATACTTGGTATCAATGTGACACATTAATCATTATTAAGTTGTCGATCTATGTATGCTTAAGGGGAAAGTCTTTTAAATGCTAATTATTATATATTTGATATTCGAATTAAATGTACAAATTGGTATTTGAACAAAAATAATAATAATTGTTCCATTTGCATCTTTAACTTTCAAATCGTATAGCATGCTACCCTAAACTTTAACACTAATTTGCTATGTGACATTCAACCAATAAAATCACATTATGTGTATGTCACATGTGAAATAAAAAAATTGCAATATGGATGGCACATGGCAACCCACAATGGTTGATTTTTTATAAAAAAAAAATCAATTTTTAATTATTATTAAATAAAAAACAAAACAAAGAAAATAATCAGATACATATATTGCTTAGTTTTACTTTTTTCTTTTTATTGCTTAATTTTATTAAAAAAGGAATTATAAAAGAGAAAAAACAGTGTTTTTACTAAAAACTCCATCAATTATGAGTTATCTCATGGCATCCACATGGAAATTTGTAGAGCTATAATTTGTTTTGTTTCAAACGTGGAACTTATTAATCAAATGCCACATGGACAGGATGGGTTAAGGTTGTTAAAATTTGGGTACTTAATGTTTAATTAACTCAATCTTTTGATAAGTGATAACTTTATTTGTTAGGATTATAAGTTATAAATAACTTTATAAAAGGGCTTATGCAAAATTTTATTTGTTAAGACTTATGACTGACTTTGTAAAAAGTGTACATTGGCTCCAACTTCATCCGGCTAAGCTATTGTAGACCTTGTAATTTTAGATGAGATATATGAAAAAATATAAAATTAAACGGATTTGAATTGTATTTCATATTTTAATGATGTCAAAATATATTCACTTTGGAATATGCTCCGGCCTTCTCGGATATATTCCCTTTCTCTGATCCATCTATTACTAAAAGATGCTAGTCATAATCATCGGACTAAGGATTTTAATATTTTGAATTTGGGTCTTGATTCTTGGGTCAGTTGTTAATGTTTTGGATTGATGAGCAACATCTTGATGGGATGATGGCTGTTATTTTATGGTTTTGGAAATTGATGTAGTAGACTTTTGGATTAGGAGGGAATGGAAAATGCTTTTGAACGTTTTCATCATAGCCGTTTTTTATTTTTTAATTTGCCTTGGGTTTTAGCTTTGGGTAGACTTTTTGTTTTTTTAACGAAAACAACTTTTTAAATTATTCATCATTTTTTTTATTAATTTGGGAATGAAAGATTAAAGAACTTGGTTACAAGATTGAGTAAAGAAAGAAAGCATGTGCAGCTTACATGTTCAACTAAGAAAGGAGATGGACATGTGTTCAATATTTAAGTTTAGTTATTAAAATTTATCATTTTACTTTTGACTATTTACTTGTAGTAAATAGGGAGTTAGTTGTCAACTAACTTTATTAATTTTTCTCTCCATTGTAACAAACTTTCTTGCTTTTACATTTTCATGTATATAAACCATTGCTCTATGATTTTTCACTTGAGAAATGAAAACATTTTCTTTCCACAAAAATTTCTCTCAAGATTCTGTGATTTCCCACACAATATTAGAGCTCTTAGTATGAGATAAGGATTCTCGAATGTAAATCCTCTTCAAACATACTTGAGGTTTTGCAATCGATTCAATTCATTCTATCTGCTGCTTGTTTTTTATTTTCTTTGTTTCATCATTAGATCACATATTCAACTCTAAATACCTAGCTTTGCTTTGTGACCGTCTTAATTGGAGTTTTTCTTAACTATTTTGGAATCTTGATTTGTTGATATTGGATTATTGTCTTTTTGTTGAGTTGTTGATATTTTGTTCAAGGTTGAGAATTCACAAACCATGGCAAATAATTCTTTAAACCCTAGATATACTAATTCACATCTAGAGGATCCACAATCTCTTTATTATGTACACTGCACTAATAATCATAGATCAGTTGTACTGAATCCCAAACTTACTTCTAGTAATTACATAGCTTGGAGTAGATCTTTCTTACTAGTATTGTCTGTAAGGAATAAGATTGGTTTGCTTGATGGAACGATTCCAAAACCAAGATAAAAGATCCTTTGTTTAACTCCTGGACTCAATGTAATAATTTGATAATGCTTCTAAAATATGGAATACTCTGAAGCAAAATTTTGCACAGCCTGATGCCACACATATGTGCAATTTACAATATACTTTGGGTAATGTGTACTAGGGAACTAGAATTGTGGATTCATATTTTATCAAGTTGAAAGGCATTTAGGAGAATCTGAGAAACTTTAGGCCATTACCACACTGTGAATGTGGTAAATGCAATCTAGCTTGTTTCAAGAAATACTCTAACTAATATAAAAAGATATTATTTTTAAGTTTCTCAATGGACTTAATGAGTTATTTTCTACATTGAGGTCTTAAATAATATCCGTGGAACCTCTTTCAGAATTGAATAAGGCATACAATATGGTTCTAAGAGAAGAATTTCAGAAAAGTTTGTTGATACAATCAAATCCAACTATAGAGTCATCTACTATGATAGCTACTATGGATAACAAGAAAAAAACTAAAGCAGATTTAGTGTGCAGCCACTGTGGAAAGAAAGGTCATGGAAAGAAAAATTGCTACAAGTTAATAGGATTTCCTGAAGACTTCAAATTTACAAAAAGCAAAGGTAATTTTAAGAAGACAAAATCGACAATTAATAGTGTTTTTATTGGAAATGGTTCTTCTACAGGAAGTTTTATGCAATCTGATCAAGATGAAGTGCTTGTTGGTATGAATTCCATGTCCTAGATGTCACTCATAAGCATCAAGTTCAGAAATTGATGACACTTCTCAATGAGAGTGGTATAACAGTGATGATCTTCATGACAGTTCACCAATACACAACAAACAAAACCTCTTTACTTAACTCAACTTTTGTAGGTATTATTTCTAGCTTTTCTTCTTTCAATAGTATGAATAATCTTCCACCTAG